TGTACTTGCATTAGTGTTCATGTGTTCTTGTTTATTAATTCCTGACACGTGCTTTGAGTTGTTTACTTTTTGCCCATGTTCTTGTCTTGGTGTTTTTTTTTTTTTTTGCTTGTTGTTACCAGTTATGTGGATGTTTTCTTCTTTGTTTTCTTTTCTAGCTTTTGAGTTAGCTTCAACTTGCCTAGCCCAGTCTAAACTAGACTTTTTTGTTGCTGTGTTCACTGCTGTGTGTGCATTATATTTGCTGTTTACAACTTTGCTGATTTTTGGAACTGTAAAGTTCTCATTGTTTTCTTTGGTCTTTACAAGCTTAAAGACTCAGTCTTTACCAGTATCTGCTTTTACTTTTTTGTATGAAAGCTTGCTCATAGCTGTCAACAGTAGTTTATACTTTTTGGAAGTTATGTATTTTACTCTACTTGAGTTTGTAAAGTGAACTGTTTCTTTTTGTTGTAAAATTTTGTATTTCTATAAGTTCTGAAGACAAACTGAAAAGAGTTTTTTTGTATGCTATTTGTTAATATAAGTATAGAGATTAGAAAGTTTAAATAGGTAATCTCCTAGTAGATTGCAGGTATGGCAGCTAATGTAGAACCTGCTGTGCAGACAAACTACTTAAAATAGACAACCAAAAGTTGTACATGTAGCTAGTTATATATTCACCTTGTACAAGTTATATAATCATAATTAAAATACAATAAAGGCAATAGCCACCAATAACTATGATCTTAGCATAAGCAAAAAATAATAATAATAATAATTTTAAAGTACAGTATAACAAATAATTATTTATTTTTTATGTTGTTTTTTTATAATCTAATTTGATATTGGTAATTATATAGCATAAATATAAACAATATATGCATAAGAGTTAATTAGAAATTTTGACCAAAATGAAAAAAATAAGTTTAATTAATTAAATTATTGCATTTTGCAAATTTTGCAGATAAAAAAATAAAAAAGAAATCAATAATTTTTGATTTTTTTACTATTTTTTTAGACTTTTAGATTAGACTTTAAGATTTGACTATAATATTATTAAAGTCTAATATAAAGGTCTAAAAGTCTAAAGAAATCAGAAATTAGAAATTAGAAATTAGAAATTTTTTTTTTTTTTGATTTGCAAATTTTGCATAATTTTGCAAATAATTGTTACAATACTTAAATATTACATTACAATAACTATTTCTATAATTTACTTATAGCAAATTAAATATTTTGAAAACAATTAAATTTATTAGAGATGTGTAGAATACTATTACACAATGAACTATTCATAATTGTTGAAAAAAACAGGTATTTTATCTGATTCTAACTCATTAACTATCAAAACAGCAATTGAAAAACAACAAAATTTAGAAAACAATAATTTAGAAGATTTGCATCAAATTTTAAAATCAGAAACTGCTAATAAATATTAAATAATAAACAAATTATTAATTTTGCAATACAGTCTGTAGAATTTGAAGATAATTTAAGTGATGAAGAGCTAGATTTTTTTTTTTTTTTTTATCTCTGGTGTTAATATCTAGAGGTGCATGTGGCACTCTTTTATTAAAATCAAATTATTAAGAACATTGTATACATTTATATATATTTTTTATTTTTTGGAAACAGTTTTTTAGATTGTAGTACAGAGTATGTATGTCTTTGCAGAGACATTTAATTACTATTAGGAGTAGGATTCTGCTTGAAAGATTGCTGTCTTTCTATTTAAAAGAGGTGTAAGTGCACCATATTTCATAAATTATGTTTGTGTGCAACCAGAGAGTGGCTTGTTTGCTTTTGTTATTTATAATGTTTGTTGCTATAAAAATTTCTTCTATAGAGGTTAGAGAAGTCTCAGCTTGGTTAGTTTTTAGAAGGCCATAGGCCTGTTTCCATATTTCTTTGCTAACTTTACATTTAAGTGCAAAGTGCTCAGCGGTTTGTAGCTCATTGTCACACCAGGGGCAGTTTCCTGTAATAGAAGGGCTTATATGCTATAGCCAGTATCCTAGTGGTAAAGCTTTATAAAAAAGACACCATAAAATGTCCTTTTTCTTGTTAGTTGTTTTCTTAATCAACATCCAGTTAGGGTGTTGGCTAGGATTAGATGGCTTCAATGTCAGCCTTTTTCTTAGAATTTCAATAATTTTCTTAACTAAAAGTTCTTCTCCATTAAGTTTTTCTATTTTAATGTCTTTGAGTTTCCAAGGCCAGCTTATTGTCACAGAAACTTTGTCTTTGGCCTTTTTTCAAGCTAACAAGTATACTGCTATGCCTTTGTAGAGTTCACTCAAACTCTAGCATCTACTTTACAGTATAATCTCAGTACTTTAGTATGGTTTCTATTTTTTTGGCCAGGCTTTTGATCTGATAATGTCTGTTTTTAATGCCTGGTTTATTGATATGTTCCTTTTTTCGAATAAGATTTCTGTGATTTTTTCTCTTTCATATTTGGTCCATGTAAAGTTACTAGTAAGGAGTTTTTTCTATACTGAGATTAGTCTAGCATATAGCATATCTCCTACTATTGGGGCTTGAAGGCCATTTTGTTCAAGTGATTGTTGGAATATAGAGTATCTAGGCAGCATTCTAGAATTGTTTTTAATTCAGAGTGTTATAAGTCTGTTGATTTCTGTAATCTGTTTTTTACTTGATGGAGTCAGATATACTGCATACCATATCTGTGAAAGTATAAGTGCTTTAGCTAAAAGAATTTTCCTCTAAAAAAAAGATTTCAATTAGATGATTTTTCTAGTATCTTTTTTATCCTAGTGATTGTTGTTGTCCATAAGTCTTTTTTAGAAATGCCTTTTGTGTTTATTTCATATCTAAAAATTGTTAGTGTTTCCTGTTCTGTAGTTTTAGTAAATTGGGATTCATCCTTAAGTTCGATTCTGTAGGCTGTATTTGTAAGAGGTACTAATTTGGTTTTGGTTTTGTTAATTTTTGCATTAGAGGCAGCTTCGTAGGTTTCAAAAAGTTGCATAATGTTTATTTAGTCTGATGATGAGCTTATTCCTATTGTTAAGTCATCTACATAAGCTGACAGTTAAAGAACTGGCTTTTTAAGAGAATTCTTAGAATGTTTCTTTTTAGTTGTATAAGTAGTGGTTCAAATGTGAGTACATATAGTAGGAAAGTGAGTGGATCCTCTTGTTATACTTCTCTTTCTACTCTAAAAAGTTCAGATAGAACATTGGCTTCTATAATATGTGCCATTTGATTTGAAAAGAGGTTAGCTACCAAGTTGGTCATTTTTTTGTTGAAGTTCATTTTTCTTAAAACCAGGTTCAGAAAGTTATAGTTCACTTTGTCAAAAGCCTTTGCTGATCTACTAAAAGCATCCAGTGCTGTTTGGAGCTATCTGATTGGTTTCTTAATGTAGTAATTATATTCAAGGCTGTGTTCATTATTGATCTTCTGAAAACAAATCCTTGTTGGTGATTGGGAATAATTTTCTTGCAGATTATGTTAAGCCTGTTTGCTATAATTTTCATAAAAATTTTAGCATCGCAATTTACTAGTGAGATTGGATGCCAGTTGTTTAAGTCTTTTAAGTTTTCTGATTTTTTGGGAATTAGTATAATTATGTTTCTGCACCATGAATCAGGTAAACAACCAGTATCTAGTACTTGATTGAACAACTTTTCAAGGACTGGTGCTATTTCTGATAATGTAAGTTTGTAGAATTCATAAGTTAGCCCATTAGTGCCAAGTAACATATTATTAGGAAGGCCTTGTATTGCTTGGATTATTTCTTTCTGTGAAATTCTTTTGACTAAGTTGTCATTTTGGTCTTGTGGTATTTGAGAAAGACTTTCAGTAATCTTTTCTGCTACCTTAAGATCTATGTCTTCTTCTTTGTAGATTTTCGTATATTGGTTTTTAATATATGTAAGTGTATCTTTGTTTTCTGAGCTTAAAGTTTCAGGTATTTCGATTCTAGACTGAGCACTTTGTGACTTTTTTGCTTTGTATTTTGAGAAGAAGTATTTTGTTAACTTTTTTCCATTTTCAATTCATTTTGTCTTTGACTGAATTAACCATAACTTAGCCATCTTAGTTAGTTCCTCTTGTATTTGAAGATTAAGTTCTTCTATGTTTTTATAAGGTGTTCTTTCAAGGAGTCTGCTGCAAGCTCCTTACTTAGCTTTGTAATGTCTTTGTTTAGTCTTGCCATTTTGTTTTCAGAGGCTTTGGGTCTTTGAAAGGCTCTGATAATTAATTGTATGTAGATTTTACATAAATCACAGTTTACTGCTGAGCCAGCATCCTGAATTTTCTCTATTACCTCTTTTCTTAGTAATTCATTTTTAAAAGATTCTTTATTGAACTTTCAGACTAAAGGCTGTTTAGATTCTTGTTTGAATTCCAGTGTGCATCTTACTAGGAGGTGGTCTGAATTACCAAAGTGTGTACTAACTTCTGATATAAGGTGATTATGATTCTTATCTATAAAAATGTAGTCCAAACATGTAGCCATTGAGTGATTATTTTGTGGTTTTTGAAAAAAAAGTTAGAAAGGGCTTGGTACTTGATATTTCTTCTATATTAATAAATTCTTTTGTTAGGTTGAAGAGCTGGGTCCTAGTTGAGTCATGTTGGGATTAAGATTAACATTGAAGTCTTCTGCTATAATGTTTATATTGTTTTCTTTGATTTGAGGTTTTTAGTCATTAAAAAAGGTTATTCTGTTGCTAATGTTTGGTGGCCTTTAAATACAAAGTCTGTTGTTATTATTCTTTCTTCATGGCTTATCTGAATGTTTTTAAATTCAATGTCTTTATTTTCTGCTAGAATTGCTGCTTTTTTAGTCCAGATTGAATTATAAATCCATTGTTGTTTGAGAAATTCTTGTGTTTTTTCATTATTAAGGTTAGTTTCCTGAAGCATTATTATGTCTAGTTTGTATGATTTTAAGAGAATTAGTGAGGTTTGTTGTTTTCCTTTGTCGTTAAGTTCTTTTACATTTAGTGTTGCTATTTTTAATTTGGTTTTTTGAGTCATAGATTTTATAAGGTTGTTGGATCCCTTGAATTGGGAGTGGCTTGTTTCTCTATGAGTTTTTTTGTATAGAGATGATCTTGTTTTGTCTTTCTTAGATGTTCTGTTTCCTTTTTTGGCTTTTCTGTTAATAACTGTAATAAAGCCATCTGTTTTTTCATTTTTGTCAGAAGGAGAAGCTGCTTTGAAGATGTAACTTGCAGATGGGTGTGGTGTTTCATAGCCATAAATGGCAAGTTCATCTCTTGATAGCATTTCTGTATCTGGTAAGAGATCTTCTTGGGTTGTCGCTTGCATTTGTTCATCTAAGCTGTTGTTTGTTGTAGCTAATTCTGCTAGAACTGAAAGCTGGGGATTTTGCTAATAGCTAGAATCAGTTTTCTCTAAGGCCATATGCACATCATCTTTTGTATCATTTTGTTCTTGCTGCTTAGAGTTTGCTGGTGATAGAGGTTCTTCGTTGCTCTGTTCAGTATTTTCTGAAGTCTTATTTAATTTCTGAAAGTCATTTGAGAGTCTTCTATTATGTTTGTCCTCTTTGTATTGTTGGTAGCTAATTCATAGATTTACTGAGTCCTGAAATTGTTAGCATTCTTTTTTAATATAACCTTTTTTTTCACAGAAGTAGCACATCTTAGGTGCTGATTTCCATTCTTTTGTGACCTTATTGTTTCATACATGTGTGAAATGAGGTATTTTGCTTTCTAGGTTAGGATCATCTGAGTTCTCAAAGATTATAATCTATTGGTCCATAAGGTAAGGTGTTCCTTCAATCAGTAGGAGCTTAATTGATGTGATCCTGCCCACAAACTCGAAGGCTTCTTTTATAACATCTGATATTGCTTCTTTGTTACCTTTGAAACATTTCTGATCTTTAGTGAAAGAAATGATTTTCTTGAATCTGTAGGGATAAAGCCGAAGTAGGTTCTACTAAAAATATTAATGCCCTTGATAGCATGGTGTTTTAATTTGTCTTTGTTTTTAAACACAATTTCCAAATATATGCATGTTCCTTTCGCCATAATTTCATTAAAAAAGCTGTACATGCCTTGGATGTCTATTATTAGAGCATTTTCATTTTTTGATCTGATTTGGCTTCTGGGCATGAAGGAGGAGTAGGTAGACTGTCCTCTTCTTAATTTTGGAAAGAGACTAGATCACTGTTTAGTTAGTGTCTTTTTTGGACCTTTTTGTCTATTGCTATCTTTTTGTAGATCATTATAAGAGTTAGTTTTATATGCTTTGCTTAACAAACTGCTACTTTGCAAGTTTTCCATTATGTCTAGCTCCTGTCCTGTTATATTTTCAGTTTCCTCTAAGTTGTCTAATATTACCTGTTCCTCAGACATGTTGTCTGTTGTTATGTTTATAGTATCTTTAGACATGTTATTCTTGTTTACTTTTTGGTCTTAAGTAGCTTTCGTTTTTTCTATTTTTAGTTTAACTTGTTTGTCCCAGCTTGTTGGGTTTTCACTAGGAATTTCTTTTAGTACCTGCTTTTCTTTTTGTTCATGTTTAGTATTCTCTTCTATGTCAGTCATCAAGCTTAAAGAGCTTGACATGTTTTCTTTGTTTTTGTTTACTTTTTTTCTGCCACTTGTTGATGCCATTTTTTTTGTTGTTTTTATATTTTTCGTATATTGAAATTCTGTAAAGGACCTTTTTCTTGGAACAAGGGCAAGGGCCCTTGTTTTACTAAGTACTTTAGCCAGTTTTGTCTTGTTTTTTGCTCTTATTTTAACAAAAAGGTTACTCTACTCCAAAACTCATATGTTCGGAAGAGAGTGTATGCAGATCTCTTAAGAGCTAGATTTTTTTTTTTTTTTTTAAAAAATGCATCTAAGCATACATTTTATTTGTAATTATTCAATTATTATAGAGCTACATATTTTGTAAAGATTACTTTATGAATCTTAGAATAGAATCTAATTCTCTGTTTCTAGTTGTGATTTTCTAGCTACAAGTGTATGTAATAAATTGATTTTGTGCTTTATTTTAAGTTTCACTATATTAATTATTGTTTCTATAAGTATAGTTTTGCTGCCCCATCTAGCTTGAGTATATAGCACCATATTTCATATAAGTGTTCATGTGGATCCAGATGGCTGCTTTCCTTTTATAAGCTGAAGATATGTTAGTAGTTGGAGAATATTATCTATTGTGGATAGGGTAGGTTCAGCTGCATATTTGAGAAATTTGTAGGTTGTTTCCCATATTTTCTTGCTAAGAGGGCACTTTAAAGCAAAGTGTTCTAATGATTAAGTGGTATGTGAGCAGTTAGGGCAATCTCCCAGATTGCTTTGACTAACATGTATAAGCCAATATCCTAGGAAGAGTGCATGGTGAGCAAGACGCCACATTATGTCCTTTTTCTTGTTAAGAACTTCTTTTATGTTTAACTATTCGAAATGTTCTTTCTTGAGGTTTATTGAGGTGTTAAGACTTTTTAGAGCTTCTTTAACCTTGTATTGGTTGCCTGATATATTTCCTATTTGGATTTCTTCTAATTGCCATGGCCAGGTACTGTTGGTTTCTATTTTTCCTTTAAATCTTTTCCATGCATTTAAATAAAGCTTCCATCTATCAGTCCAGCCTTTAGTTTTGAGTGGCATCTGTGTTAGTACATTTAAAACTGAAATGTTTCTTTTGTTATAGAGGTCTGAGGTTATAGTGTCTCTCTTTGCAGTAGCTAAAATGTATTACTTAATAAGAGTTTGAGCCATGTTGAGAGTAGTCTAGCATCTAGCATATTCTTTAGAATAAGTGCAGTAAGCCCACCTTGTTCATAGCTGAGCTGAAATACTGAATATTGAGGTAGCATTCTAGAGTTTCTTTTTATTCAGTTTGTTAGTAGTTGGTTAATTTCAGTTAATTTCATTTAGTTGCTTTCTTGTTGAAGGAAGAAGGTATGCCAAATACCATATTTTGGAAATAAATAAGGTTTTGGCTGCTAGAATTCTTCCCTTAAAGGAGAGATTTTTTTGTGAAAGTTCATTAATTTTATTTTTGATTTTCTTTGTAAAGCTTTCCCAAGAGGACTTTTCTGGATTTCCTTTTATATTAATGTTGTAGCCTAGTATTGTTATAGAGCTTTGATCATTATCAAGTATTTTAAATTCTGATTGGCCTAAGAGTTCAA